CCCCCGCCCAAATAAAGAGATGACTCTCCAAGTCTCATTCATTGACCGAAAATCAAAGGGCAAGTAATGTTGCTCCAGGAACTATTTATCGCTCTGGGAAATGAGGAATCAGTAACTAGTAAGTAACTTACAGATTGGATAGCAAAGATACTTGCAGTTTGGAAGATACTTTGCCAGGCTGTGAGGTAAAGATGCAATTATTTAATCTAGGCTTGGCATCAGTGAAAACAGAGACTTCACGTGTAAGGAGAAAGGTGCCGAAAGCACACCGTGTGGCAGGAAATTGTAATATGAGCTACCTCAGGCAGACAGGCCTATTGAGTAAGTCATTCAGCTGCCTTTTGTTTTGGAGACTGCTCCTTGCATTGTGATGGCCAGCACACATTCGCTTCTAAAAAGCAAAGCAGAAGCAGAAAGGCAAAGTATCTTTCAAAGTCAAGATTGGCTTTCTAAATCTGGCATTTGCAGGTAATGACAAGCGAACTTGGTCTTGAAGCAAGGTGGGGACAGTTACCAATAACTAAGGAAGAGGATCTCACTGCTCCAATGTGATGGAGAGGTTTGCTCAAGAGGCAGCTCTAATGCAATCCAAACATTTCAATTTGAAAGTGCCTCCTCAATGCCCTTTGGATCAGAAAGAGCTGAATTACCAAGGACTAAATTCAATTCAAAACAGACGATCCATGAATGAGGTCTCAAGAACCAAAAAGTTAGTAAAATATTTTAGAATTTAAAAGAACAGTGCTCAGAGGGACCCTGATTTGGTCAGGGTAGTGCTTTTGTTGATTTAGTGGTCCTCACTTAACAAAATATACAGATTTTCATAACAGCTGTCATCTGCTCTATGGAGCAAATGTTACTTTCTTTTCAGGGACACAAGAGCAAGAACACGTGGCAGGATGAATTTAAACTGGGAAAATGTCACAGGGAGAGAACTAGTTCTTAACATGTCCAAGCAGCACTATGTCTCTAATGGAAATTTCTTTCCATAGCTATCATGACAGATATTTATATTTCCAAAATACTCAAGACATCCTGGTCATAAATGTTCCCCATGATCAGCTCTCCAAAGAGTGTGAAGGGCATTCTCAATGAAATCAGAAAGACCTGCCAGAAATAAAACAGGTGCAGTCAAGAATATGTCCCTAGTCAACAGTACCTCTAACTGTTCACTGAAGCTTTCAGGATATGGAATGTATCTGTTGTCTTTGTCGCCCTTATAAAACCAAGTACAGCGTCTTACTTCAGACTCGGCTTCTTCCCAGTAAACAGTATAGCGCACCCGCTTCTTTAAATGGACATCATACCGGCCCCCTTCTGTTGGCACAATCAGCTCCTTGCAGTGCCTGCCTACAGAACACAAGGGCTATAATGAAGCTAGCTAGACACTATCAATAGAGCCTTGTCAAAAGGAAAAAGCTGAAACTGAACACAAAAATGTGGCACATGGGGGACCTCTAACCCAAAATTCACACAGTTGTCAGTTATATTATTTTTTTAGAAGACACATCATCTAGGTGGATGAAAAAAATGTCCATGAAAGTACCCTGGATAATATTTACAAAAATACATCAGAATTTGAAGGCAAGCCACAGATGTCTTGGGCCCACTCATCTCATTGTTTCCTCCTGCCCTATAAACATTAATTTTACATATACTGTAGATTTCCAGTTTAAAAGATGGCTGATCTAGCCTGGGAATATCTGGATCTCATACCTGGGTCCATTTATTTTAAGATACATTTGTGATATAGTGTAGAAATTAACTATGCACAGGGCAGAGAACATATAGTCACCCAGCTGTTTATGGACTTCAGTTGCCATCATCCCTGATCACTGGCCACACTGGGTAAAGCTGAAGAGAGCTAGAACCCAACAAGATGAAAAGGCCTCTAGGCTTTTGCTTTAGATATTTTCCCCCAACAGAATGTAACTGAGAATTAAATCCAGTTACTCTGTAACAGATACAATTAAAATACGGAATTAACTGCATAAAAATTAAAAATTCTCCCTCTTCTGTTTGGGGCATCTCATTTCTACTTACTGGACTGATAAGCTTTTTCCAACTTCTCTGAATCTTGTCCACTGAAGGGAATCCATTTCTCTCTGGAATCTACTATCCTGCAGTAAAACCAGTGGGGAGAAACTGGTTCATATTTATTGACTGCTTCTGCTTCTATGGCTTCGTAGTAACTGGATGAATTTGAATTAGAAGATGGAGAGGCCTCTGTTGATTGTTGCTCTGTTGTGGACATTGCACTGCCTGGTACAAAGATGAAAATGAAAACAAACCAAGAAAATATAATTTAAAAACCTTAACCGATGTTTTGCTCAGTAAAAATCTGATTTTTTTAATTATGTAAAATGGGATACTTTTTTAAAAAAATGGAAAAGAAATAACAAGTAAGTACTAAATAGCAAAATGTTTAAATGGTTGCAAATGAACCAACAGCAACTGCAGATGACTCACTTTAAAAAAAAAGACTCTTGAACCAAATCAAGTGTACAAATATAGATATGGACAACGTCAGCATCCTTATTATCAAGCATGTCCGCAGGACCTCTGATTAAACATACCTACTATTGTGCAGGAAGGGTTGAATGAGCAAAAATATGCAATTTCAACTCAACTCGTTGCTCCCCTAAGCCTAATTCACATATCTTGGTAGAAACTAAACTAACGGTGCAATCCTACACAAAAAGAAGCTTCCAAGTTCACTAGATTGTATTTTCAAATATGCACAAGATCAGCACCTAAATTATATTTTATAAGAATGTGGAAGAACACATCAAGCCAAACAACCATTCAAATAAAAAATGGCTTTGTTATTCAACTCTACATATTTCACATACATGTGAACTGTAGATCTTAATGTATTTCCCTCTAGGGAACATTTCAAAATGTAACAGCTAAGGGCCCCACAATTACTCCAGTGCCCAGTAACTAGAATAAAGCTGAACAAAGAACATTTCTTTATAGATTGGACTGGATTTCTGCAGTACCCAGTCTATTTGGAGTCAAGCAGCATTAATGTGATTAAGCAATGTTTCATGTGGCAAAATGTGTCTTTCAAACTTTGTTCACCCTTGTTTCTGAAAATTAATGATTATTGTATGTGTATAGTATAATTTTCTTCATTCTACTGCAGTGTTAACTTTCTTCTGTTTTCTGTTCAATATCTGCCTGCTTCTCCTAAATAAACAAAAATTAAAGGATACTACATGCTTTAGAGTTTAGCAACTTGTAACTCCATTTGTAACAAAAAGTAAAAATAAAATAAATCGAGGAATTTACAAATAATCCATACTTTCAAAGTTCAAAGTTTACATACCAAACAACTTTGATAAGTAACTCAATTACACATAACATACTTTATAAAGTAACAAAGTAGCTAAACCTGTAAAGCTGTTAAAAATTCAGGATTGGACAGATATCATTTTTTTCTCCCCAAAATATGTTTTTTTTTTAAAGGGGGGAGAGAGTCCTCATTCCATCAAATTTCTGGAAATTTTACATGTCTAACTATGTAACTGTCCCACTAATTCAGATTTTTATTATTTTTTGCCAGTACAGATTATGCTAAATTAAACTCAACCACAAATGTTATTCCTGCAATGCCTCCCAGACTTCTTGGACTACGTCTCCCTTATCTCCTTCCACAGGCCACAGCATATATAGCAAGACCTTTGCCTTCAGCATCAGCGTTACCCAAGCATCTGCAGAACTCCAGGTCATTATGAAATATCAGGGAGGATGCAATTTACACACGCTATGCTAACACTGTAGATAGCTCATATAATCGGCCAATTTACTGTTGGCAACGTAACACAAGGGAAACACCGATTTCCCAGTTCCATTCAAGTGTAGGCTTTTATTGGCAACAACCTGATGATAAACAGGAAGCAGAAGCTATGGCTGGAGTGGACGTTTCCATTCTTGCTCCCGGCTTCATCAAAGGTGTTGTGCTCAGCAGCAGCAGCGCACAATGTGATGGATTCAGCCTGGAAGAAACAGCCTTCTGTCATGTTGGCCTGTGCCATGTTCAAGACCTCGCTGCCCCCTTCCCTAGCAACCCTGCGAGGGTTTCCTGAATGCCACCTTTTCTCCTGCCTCTGGCCCATCATCACCTTCCGAGGCGCCTCTCCAGAGGTCATGCCTGCAACCCAGCCTCCGCCCACCGATGCCCCCAACTTTTCAGGGCAGAAAGCAAGCAGCCGCGCAGCCAGCCGAGCCCCTTCTCTCCAGGGGCCTCCCTGCCCCCGCCCCATTTATTTCAACAGGGGCTTGCAAGGAAAGGCAGAGCCTCCCATCCTAGACACCCAGCGCTGGAAATCCAACCCGGGCAGGTGAGGCGGGAAAGCGCGGGGCTCCAGTCGTCCTCCCACAGCCCGGC